AGGAAAAACAACAATGAGAGAAAATCACAGCTTGTGGGCTCTTCATTCCAGACTGGCTCCAATCTCGAGCGCATCATGGAGGGAGAAAGAGACCATTCATTTCCGTATGCACACTTCACCTGCAGGTTACAGGCTGGTCCAGTCCCCAGGAATACCTCCTTTTCACCCGCTTAATTGTTTCCTTGCACATGCATGCACAGAAAAGCACAGATATACGATGGGGGACACCTGGCTGAAGGAGACTACGTACGAAAGGGATCTTTGAATCCAGGTAGACCACGAGTTGAACATGAGTCAACAGTGTAATGCAGCAGCTAAAAAGGCCAATGCAATTTTAGGCTGCATCAATAGAAGTATTGTGTCTAGATCAAGAGAAGTGATAGTGCCACTCTATTCTGCTTTGGTCCGGCCTCACCTGGAATAATCCTGGGTCCAGTTCTGGGCACCACAATTCAAAAGGGATGTTGAAAAACTGGAGCGTGTCCAGAGGAGGATGACTAAAATGGTGAAGGGTCTGGAAACCATGAATCCCTATGAGGAACGACTTGGGGAGCTGGGTATGTTTAGCCTGGAGAAGAGATGGTTAAGAGGGGATCCTCTTTAAATATTTGAAGGGATGTTATATTGAGAATGGGGCAAGTTTGGTTTCTGCTGCTCCAGAGAATAGGACCCAGAACAATGGATGCAAGCTACAGGAAAAGAGATTCCAGCTCAACATTAGGAGGAACCTCCTGACAGTGAGAGCTGTTCAACATTTGAAGACGTTCCCTCGGAGTCTGGTGGAGTCTCCTTCCTTGGAGGTCTTTAAGCAGAGGCTGGATGGCCATCTGTCGTGGATGCTTTAATTGGGAGTTCCTGCATGGCAGGGGATTGGACTGGATGGCCCTTATGGTCTCTTCCAACTCTATCATTCTATGATTCTATGACATCCATCTATGCCCAGATACCAGATACCACATTCCCCACCATCCCCCAATTCTCTGTTTTTGAGACTCTCATGAGAATTGGTGGTGCTTCCCTCCTGTCCAAATAGCCCCTTTCTCCCACTGTCCTGGTTATTGTATCACTGCTTTACACCTTTCCTCATTTTTATTCTGAAATTAAAAAAATAAAGTGTGCAATAGTTGATGGACACATGGTAGAACAGACACACACACACACCCCAAAAACCAAGCAAAATCAGGCATGTTCAGAGACTTGCTGCTTTCCCCCCCAGAATGCATGGAAGGATTCTACGGCTGTGGTATATTACTATTACAAGATTGAGTCTCCCTTATCACAAATGCTTGAGACCAGAATTTGGCTTTTGGCTTTGGGGTGGAGGGGGGGGATGGATTTTGGAATACCTGTATTTGCATATACATACATAATGAGACTCAGAAGATGACTAGGATTGGGAAGGGCAACTATGAAAGAACTGGACAAGGTCATAAAGGGAGGATCGTCCAAGCCATTGTATTCCCCATCACAGTGTATATGGATGTGAGAGCTGGACAGGGAAGAAAACCAACAGAAAGAAAACGAACTCATTTGAGACGCAGCATTGAAGAAGAGGAGGCGGAGGAGGAGGAGGACACCATGGATGGCCAAGAAGACCCAAACAATTGGGTCCAAGAACAGATCAAGCCTGAAACTTCCCTGGAAGCCAAGAGGACTAAATTTTTCACAACACTGAAACAGTTTAAAACATACTCTTTGGAAAGATTTTGTTTAAAATAGTTAAAAGCAGTGCAATTTAAAACGATACAGCACTCTTTTACAGCCCTTTTGTTAAAAGCCGTCAGTTTTGATCAAAAGAAGTCAATAAAAGTCTTCACCTGCTTAAAGGAAGGACAACAGAGACAGCAGGGTCATCCTAAACATTAGGAGGAACTTCCTGACACTAAGAACTATTGGATTGTGGAAGACATTGCTTTGGAGAGCGGTGGACTCTCCTTCTTTGGAGGTCTTTAAATGGAGGCTGGATGGCCATCAGTTGGCGGTGCTTTGATTGTGAGTTCCTGCATGGCTAGAATCGATCATCCTTTGGAGTCTCTTCCATGACTAGGATGCTGTGATTCTAGGGCCCTCCCATCCTCAGTGGGCTGATTCTTTGAATGGGAGATGCAAGCATCCTAAATGCATCAACTTCTCTAAGCCAGTGCTTCAGCTCCTTCCATCCTAGCTGGCTACCTCCCCTACTGAAGCTGTAGTCTCTTGAAAATCAAGGCTGTCAGTGTATTAAGGCCTGGCCCTTCTTTCCTGGCACTCAGAGCAAGGGGGAGGAGTCTCAGAGCAAGAGCACTGTCTTGAAACATTCAGGTATATATATTTTCCTCCTTTGTTAAATTGGTGCTTTTCATTTGAAGAGCATACTTGGTTCAATTGTGCTTGATGCTTATAGCGTCATGCTTAATGATGTTACCGGGGGCTGTCCCTTGGAACATCACCAGGGCATGCTCCTTATGATGCCACAAGGGCTTCTTTCCTGGTCTCAGCTTTGAGCCCTGAAATCTCAAGTTTGAGCTCTGGGATAGTCTTGACCAGGCCACCCTATACTGGAAGGAGATTGTGGCCTTTCTCCAATGTGTTCCAGTTATTGGATGGCCCTTGTGGTCCCTTACAGCTCTTATGATTCTATGATACGATAGGTGACCCTCCTGCATTGGCTCAAGCAAGGAACCATTGTCAGGCCTGGGCGGGCGGGGGAAGAGGATAACAACTTTCCTCCGCTATACTTGTCCTTGTTCCTTTTCCTGCGTGGGAGGGATGTAATGCATAAAAAATGAGGGCTAAATGCACGGTCCACCAATGGCTGCTGCCACACTTCAGAATTAATGCCTCTCTTTATTAATGCCATGGCTCCATCCTGTGGAATCCTGGGATTTGTCGTTTGTTGCGGCCTCAGAGCTCTCTGACAGAGAAGTCTAAATATTTCACAAAACTGCAAATCCCATAGCAGTGCGCCATTGCAGTTAACGTGGCGTTGGACTGCATTAATTCTGCAGTGTAGATGCAGCACAAATGTTTTGTGTCTGCACCTGCTATCCCAAAGTCGTCTTTTTCTTTCCCCCAGGGGGTTGCTTCTGTGGGGCAAAGGGTGTGCTTTGCTTGGGGTACCATCCTTGCTGATTGAGCCCAACGGCCAGGAACGGAGCGACATCCCACCCAGCCCTCCACCAGCCTCTCTGCACCTCTCCATCCTGGCTTCTTTCCCTTAATCATGGGAGCAGCACATGACGAGATGTTGGCAACTAGCATTTATCTATACATAGATATAGACTGGCACCGTGCCCAACATTACAGCATCTTGCAGGGTTGCCTAGAGAGGCTTTGTGCATTTTGATATTCTCATTAGGACGCCTCCCTCCTCGGTGCCTTCAAGGGAAGCTGGATAACCCAACACACACACACACACACACACACACACACACATATTAGGGGAGGACAAGGGTAAGCTTTGTGCATAGCCTAACATAGATTACTCGTTGTGGGCCTGTGTCTCCCACTGGAGTCAATAGTAGTCAATCAGTTTTATTTCCTTCCATATAAAGCAGATGAGGATGAAGTTGAAGTTGGTGCAGAAATTTTCAAATCATTCTAGTTTTAGGAGATGTGGGTGGTTTGATCAGAAAAAGCTTGTGTTCCCTAACTAGGTAAGAATTGCATTTGTTTCATTCTTGTCTTTTCAAAATAAAATAAATTAAATACAAACTAAGGAGTTTATCACACAGGGGAAATCTGGTGCGGAAACAGGGCTTTAAATTAAACAAAACCTGCAAAAGCGGGTGTTTTTTCAGACGACGTCGCTGTTAAAAGGAGGTTAATCCAAACGAAAATTAGACAAAAATTGCTTCTTTTTACTTTCGGAAGATCCCGAAAGTAAAAAGTAGCAGTGTTTGTCTAATTTCCGTTCAGATTAACCTCCTTTTAACAGCGCTTTCACTTTTCACACAGGGCAGAATGGGAGAAATCTCGTTCATTAAAAGCTTCCGCTTTTGTGGGTTTTTTTTTTACTTTAAACAGCAATTTTACATGGGGCTCCCCGTGTGATAAACTCCCATGATTCATAAAACTTTGCTATGAACGATACAGGAAGAGCTTGATTTCATATATAATATATATATATATATATTCTGTCCTTCCAGGTCAGAGGTTCAGATTGTCTGGTCCTCCAGATGTTGCTGGACTGCAGCTCCCAGCAGTCCTAAACCAGAATGGCCAATAGTTGTAGTTTAACATCTGGAAGGCCTCCCAGCTCCCAGCTGTAATCCAGGTAGATCATGGGTACTTAGCTCTTAAAAACTGGGTGCAGTGTTGGGTACTTAGTTCTTAAAAATCTGGGTTTGGTTCCTTGTGCACTTAGCCATGTTTGTGGGGCTTAGTTAGGTTTGCCGTATTTCCACTTCCACCCCTGATGTCTCTAAGGCTCTTCATTTTTAAGTGTTACACAACAGGCAGGTACAACATGGTCTTCTCTGTATCTTCTCTGTACTGGGAATGGTTGTGCGTGTTGAATTTGGCTGGTGCAGATGGATGAGAAATTCATTCCTCTCATTTTTGAGAAGAGCTTCCTAGAATTCCCCAATTCCTTCATAACCAGGGTAAAAATGACTTGAGACTTTGAAAGAAAAGTGTATGTAGAAGTGAGCCAGTGTAGTGTAGTGGTTTGAGCGCTGGACTATGTCTCTGGAGACCAGGGTTTGAATTCCTGCGTAGGCCTGGAAAATCCACTAGTTGGCCTTGAACAGGTCACACACTCTCAGCCTCAGTGGGAGGTAAAAGCAAATCCCTTCTGAACAAATCTTGCCAAGACAGCCCCATAAGAGCTTTGCCTTAGGGTCATGATAAATCAGGATTGGCTTGAAACCATACAACAGCAATGAATTGCTGCTCCTGAAGGCTTCTGGAAAACACAGTTCGCTCTTCCTTTTGGCCAGAAAAAGAGTGGTCCAGATTGGAAAGGTCAAGAACTATTGAAACAAAATTGGCAAGCACTCCCTGGGCTACCGTTTTCCCATCCCCACCTTAAACGTAAGAAAAGGTTGAGAGAAGATGCCTTCTCTCAAGACATTCTAGGAAACCTAAGGCTGAACCTGGATTTGAAACGTAACTTCCCAGATCCAAGTCCGTATTGTGTCCTCATTTTTTGTCTTCATAAAGTTATCTGAAATATGACAGCACCACCTACAGCAGTCATTTTCCCTCAATCTTCTGGAGCGGACTGAAATTTCCTATATCGCTTTGCAGATGAAAGACAGATTGGGTGCCCCCAAGACAGCAAAGGATGACAACACTGGCTCCAGGTTGTACAGAAACACCAGTCCTTTGGTCAAAGTCATCTCTGCACTTGAGCGACACTCAGGTTACCTCTGGTAGACAAGAACTGATTCGAGTTTCTACATCAAGAGAAGTAATAGTGCCACTCTATTCTGCTCTGGTCAGGTCTCACCTGGAA